CTGGTCTGCCCTAGGCCCGGACGCTGTCCGCAACGGTGGTCGCATCGCATCGCATCGCTGAGGGACCGAAAAAGCATTGGAAGCCAGATTGGATTCGATCTGTGCTTTGTTTCCCAGGCTTCCGCCACGCAGGGATTTCTCGGTCTCCTTCCCTGCTCAGACGGGCCCCGTTGGTCCAACCGAGCGCCCTCGGGACATTTTTTTGGGTAGCCGTTGCTCCCAAGATGGCCCGAGATTCTCAGCAGGCCCGCCACACGCGATAGGCTTTCCAGAGGCTCCCAGGGGAGGAAGAGGAGGAGGAGGAGGAGGAGGAGGAGGAGGAGGGGGAGGAAGAGGAGGAGGAGGAGGAGGAGGAGGAGGATGAGGAGGAGGAGGAGGAGGAGGAGGAGGAGGAGGAGGAGGAGGACGAAGAGGGCCAGGAGGAGGAGGGTTCTTCATACCAGTCTTGCCGGCACTTGCGGATGTTGGAAAGGCCGTTTCGCATCGCAGGGGGGGGTCTTTCAGGGCAGTCTTGCCGTCACTTGCGGATGCCGCAATGGCCCTGTCGCTTGAGATTTTTCTCAATTTAGCAGCACCACAAGGGGGGTCCTTCAGAACCAGGTTGCCGCTATTTGCGGATACTAGAGCGGCCGTTTCGCTTGAGTTTTTCCCCACATGTTTCGTGGGGTTCTGGTTTTCTTCCCACACGCGTCGCACCTGCGTCTTCCTCTCAGCTCCCGCCTCCTCCTTTCTCCTCCTCCTCCTCCTCCTCCTCCTCCTCCTCCTCCTCCTCCTCGTCCTTCGTCCCTTCACCCACACGCAACACATGCACTGCACGTGCATCAGACACGCGTCTACATGCTCTACATGCAGCCGCACGCATGCACACACTCGCACACACATCGTCCAGGGCGTAGCAGGCGTGACACTTTCCCGACACCATGGGGGGTGCACACGGGGTGGTCCTTGAGCGCGGCCGCTATCCGTACGGTTGCCAGGCCATGGCAGGAGTGGCACTTTCTCGACACCATAGGGTGCGCAGGAGGTGGTCCCTGAGCGCGGCCGCCATCCCCACCGGTCGTCCAGGGCGTAGCAGGCGTGGCACTTGGGGGTGCGCACGGGGTGGTCCCTGAGCGCGGCCGCTATCCGTGCCGGTCGTCCAGGGCATAGCAGGAGTGGCACTTTCTCGACACCATAGGGGGTGCGCACGGGGTGGTCCCTGAGCGCGGCCGTTGTCCGTGCCGGTCGTCCAGGGCGTTGCCCGCTATCCTTGCCGGTCGTCCAGGGCGTAGCAGGAGTGGCACTTTCTCGACACCATAGGGGGTGCGCAGGAGGTGGTCCTGAGCGCGGCCGCTATCCGTGCTGGTCGTCCAGGGCATAGCAGGAGTGGCACTTGGGGGGTGCGCACGGGGTGGTCCCTGAGCGCTGCCGCTATCCGTGCCGGTCGTCCAGGGCATAGCAGGCGTGGCACTTTCTCGACACCATGGGGGGTGCGCACGGGGTGGTCCCTGAGCGCGGCCGTTATCCGTGCCGGTCGTCCAGGGCGTAGCAGGCGTGGCACTTTCGACACCATGGGGGATGCGCACGGGGTGGTTCCTGAGCGCGGCCGTTATCCGTGCCGGTCGTCCAGGGCATGGCAGGAGTGGCACTTTCTCGACACCATGGGGGGTGCGCAGGAGGTGGTCCCTGAGCGCGGCCGCCATCCTTGCCAGTCGTCAAGGGCATAGCAGGAGTGGCTTTTTCTCGACACCATAGGGGGTGCGCAGGAGGCACGGGGTGGTCTCTCAGCGCGGTCGCTATCCGTGCCGGTCGTCCAGGGCGCTGCTGTCCGTGACGGTCGTCCAGGGCATAGCAGGCGTGGCCTCTTCTCGACGCCATAGGGGGGTTGCAGGTCGTGGTTTCTGAGCGCGGCCGCTATCCGAGCCGGTCGTCCAGGGCGGAGCAGGCGTGGCGTATTCTCGTAACCTTAGGGGGTCCGCAGGTGGTAGACTCTGAACACGGCCGCTATCCGAGCCGGTCGTCCAGGGCGCAACAGGCGTGGCACTTTCTCGACACCATAGGGGGTGCGCAGAGAATGGCCACCAACATCATTCTCACATGCTTCACTTCAGTTCTCATCACTCCAGCCAGAATATAAGTATGCGGGGTCCCTCGGTAGCGTACTTTCGCAATTCAGCACCACAAAGGGGTCCTTCAGAGCATTGTTGCTGCTACTCGTGGATGCCCGAGCAGCCGATTCGCTGGAGACTTTCTCGCAAGTCAGCAGTACAGGGGAATCCGTCAGAGCAGTCTTGCCGCTACTTTCGGAAGCCTAATGAGGCCCGAGGGATACGTGTTCGGGGAGCGCTTTTCGATCCTCCCGCCCCGAGGAGGCCCAAGGAGACACTTCTCTCTGTGTTGGGGTCTGCGTTCGGGGAGCGCCTGTTGGTCCCCGCCGCTCCCCTCGGAGGCGCTCCTCCTTGTTGGGACATGTGTTCGGGGAGAGCGGTTCGCCCCCCCCCCCTCCTCCCCCCGCACCCCAGAGGCCCCGAGAGGCCCCAGAAGGCATTTCTTTTGTATTGGGATGGGTGTTCGGGGAGTTACAGTCGGCCCGGATTAGTAGGTCGACCCTGCCAAATCAAGGGTGCCTTTGTGTCCTGTGTCTCGCGACCCGTGCCTCCTGCATTCCTATGGCAATGTTGCCCTCGGAAGGGTCTTTTGCCCTTTCGCGTGTCCTGTCCAATGAAGTCCGACTGTATTTGCGGCCCCCGTAGGCCTCGTCCCCACAGGCTTCGCCGCCTGCAGGCTTCGCCGCCCCTCCCTGCTGGCGCTCGGGTCCCCTGCGGCCTGCTCGTGTTCCTGCGGGTTGCCCCTCTCCCGGGGCTCGAAGCCTTCCTCTTCTACGTCGGTTCCTGTGGATTGCCCCTCTCCCGGGGCTCGAAGCCGTTGTGCGTTTCAGTGTCTGTCCCCTCAGGTGGCCCTCCAGAGGCTCGAAGCCTTGGTGCTCTACGCAAGTTCTTGTACATTGCCCCTCTCCTGGGGCTCGAGTCCTTCGCGATTCGACCGCGCGTTTTTTTTGTTTGTGTGTCGTGCGAGCCGAAGGTGGGAACGTGCCTCGGGAGAGGTGTTGGCCCCACCTCCCTGGGCGGGAGATCTGACTGAAAGCATATTGCCCCCCCTTTTGGTATAGTTCCTCCGCGAGGGGGTGGCATCGTGATGGACGCAGGTGGCATGCAGCAGCATCGCGCGAAAGAGGGTCACGTGATTGATGGTGATGATGCTGATGATGCTGACCTTGCTGATACTGATGATGCTGCTGCTGCTGATGATTATGATGCTTTCGACGATGATGTTGATGATGCTGATGATAAGGATGTCATTGATGATAGTGATGACGCTGGTGATCGTGATGATGCTGGTGCTGATGCTGCTGCTGCTGATGATGATGATGCTCATGATGATGATGTTGAGGATGATGACGACGAGGATGATGATAATCATGCTAATGATGATGCTGATGCTGCTGATGATGATGATGCTTATGATGATGATGAAGTGGATGGCGATGATGAGGATGCTGATTATTATGATGAGGAGGATGAGGAGGATGCTGCTGCTGCTGATGATGGTGATGGTGGTGGTGGTTATGATTCTGATGTTATGCTGCTGGTGATTATGAGCATGATGATGTGGATGATGATGACGATGATGATAATGATGATTCTGATGATACTGACGATGACGATGAGGACATTGCTGACAATGATGATAATGTTGCTCCTGCTGCTGATGATGATGATGCTGATTAGGGTGAAGGTGATGATGATGATGATGATGATGATGATGATGATGATGATGATGATGATGATGATGATGATGATGATGATGATGATGATGATAACGATGATGATTCTGCTGCTGCTGCCGATTATGATGAGATGATGATGATGCTGATGATGATTCTGATGATGCTGATGCTGCTGCTGATGATGAGGATGAGGATAGTGATGATGATGCTGATAATAATGATGATGCTGAAGCTGATGCTGATGCTGATAATGGTGGTGGTGGTGATTGTGATGATGATGCCGATGATGATAATGGTGATGCTGCTGCTGATGATGAGGATGATGATGATGATGATGATGATGATGATGATGATGATGATGATTACAATGATGATGGTGGTGATGATGATGATGATGATGATGATGATGATGACGGCGATTGTGATCGTGGTGATTGTGATGGCGGTGGTGGTGGTGGTGGTGGCGATGCCGACGGTGATAGTGTCGGGGGTGATGATGATGACGACGACGACGACGACGAAATGATGATGATGATGATGATGATGATGATGATGATGATGATGATGATGATGATGATGATGATGATGATGATGATGATGATGATGATGATGATGATGATGATGATGATGATGATGCTGCTGATGATGATGAGGAGGAGCAGGAGGAGGAGGAGGAGGAGGAGGAGGAGGAGGAGGAGGAGGAGGAGGGGGAGGAGGAGGAGGAGGAGGAGGAGGAGGAGGAGGAGGAGGAGGAGGAGGAAGGAGGAGGAGGAGGAGAAGGGGGAGGAGGAGGAGGAGGAGGAGGAGGATGAGCAGGAGGTGGAAGCGAAGGGAGGAGGAGAATGAGGAGAAGGAGGAGGACCAGGCACAAGGTGATCACCCCAAAACCGACCCCCCGGCCTGCCCTGGAGCGCGTGCCGACCGGGCTTCTGAGGCGGACCCGACCGTGGAGACGAGGGGCTCCTGGGAGGCCCCCCCTGAAGGGGCCAAGAACGTCAAGGAGTCCTTGCCGATGTCTTCCCTGCCCTCCTCCTCTTCCACCACCTCCACCTCCTTCTTCTTCTCCTTTCTTCCTTCTCCCCGTCGTCATCGTATCGTCGTCGCTTCCTCGGCCTCGCCGCCGGCGCTCTGCGAGGACCCGACGCCACGCCGCCGCCGAGAGCACGACGTCGACAGCGAGGACCTGCTATCGCCGCAGGTCAAGAAGCCGGACTCCCAGGAGCTCGCGCCAGCGGAGCCACGGGGCAGGGGCGAGGAATATTAAGGATTATGATGGGGATGGGTGATGATGGTGATGGTGATGGTGATAGTGATGGTGATGGTGGTGGTGGTGGTGATGATGATGATGATGGTGGTGGTGGTGGTGGTGATGGTGATGATGATGATGATGATGATGATGAGGAGGAGGAGGAGGAGGAGGAGGAGGAGGAGGAGGATGCTGTCGCTGCTGTTGCTGATGATGATGGTGCCATGCGCCGTCGCCGCCGCAGGCCCCTCCCCATCTCCCCCCCTGAAGAGTGATCTCTGCACGTCGCGGAACCAGACGTGTTGGTTGGGGGGATGGCCGGGCGCCTGGCTCGCTGCCTCCTCGCACGTGGCCTCCTCGGGGCCAGCACCTTTTTCCCCTCACGCGGAGGGAGGGCGAATGGCTTCAAGCTGTGGCTCCTGCCTCGGCGCCGAGCGCGCTCGCCGTGCCGCCAAGTGAGCCCCAGGACCGGCCCAGCAGGCGGCTGGATGTCTTGCCGGTGAGCCGTTTGGCGGCTGCCGTTGAGCTGGCGGCCAGGGCGCGGGTGGCCGTGCCCTCGCGGACGACGGCCCGCCCGTTTATCGTCGGCCTACATCTGCTTCTTGAGACAAAAACGTCCAGCGGCGGGCGACGGGGGGGAAGGGAGGAGGAGAAGGCCTTCTCAGGAGGAGGCGGGGCCTCTCAGAAGCCCGCTCTGGCCTTCCGAGAAGTTTTCTGTGCCTCTTCGGGGAAGGCTTCGAAAACTTCTCAGAAGGCCAGGGGACTTCCAAACCTTCTGAGAAGGCATTCTCCTTCTCACTTCCCCCCTCGCCCGCCGCCGAAAGGTGCATGGTCAGGGCAATATATTGGCGAAGGTCGAGGAACAGTTGGGACTGGGGCAGGGGACACGTCGTCGACCCGCGCCTTATCTTCGCTAGGCGTCTCTGGCGCCAAGCTCGTCCCCATGTACTTGGAAATTCAGAATTTCCGTGAGTGCGCAGACCGTTGTAGCACAGGGATCGACAAGAACAAGGCAGAGTATTTCCTGGCTAAGCTCACAGAGACGCTGCCACCACCCTGAAGCCGAGCGTTGGCGCACTGGAGGTGTTCGGCAGGAGCGCGCACGCGGAGTCTGCGCGCACATCGCACCTCCAGCAGCATCAGGAGCTGCTGTCGTTCTTCAGGAGGCGTGGCCCGTCTGAGGAGAAGACTTGCGCGGCGGGGGGCAGGGCCACCCCTGCAGGCGGCCTCCACGACGACGTGGACGGCGCCAGCGGCCGCCGCGGCAGAGACAGACTGGAGGAGGGGACGGACGCGTCGGCAGCGCTGGAGGTGCCTCCTCGGACGGTGGCTCCGTGGTGGCTGCAGCGGCTTCTGGCGGCGGCGCTGCCCGCCCAGGTGGCGGCCACTCCCCTGGAGGTGTCCGGTGGGCTGCGGCGCCGGCCAGCCCCTGGAGGCGCGGATGCGCTGGCCAGCCCCCGGGGGTGCATGCAGGCGCTGGTGCACACCGCCGCACGCAAGTCGAGCGCGGGTGTCGCCTGCAGCGGCGGCGGCACATGGTGCGGGCGGACGTCTCGCTGTACTTCTGGGGCTTCCTGGCCCAGGCGGGTGCTTCTGGTAGGGTTCGCATGTGGCCCCCTATCGCTGTACTTCTGGGGCTTCCTGGCCCAGGCGGGTGCTTCTGGGGCTTCCTGGTCCAGGCAGGCTCCCCAGCTCTGCCGCTGTGGCGAGGCTTTCCCCGACGGACTGCGCGCGGGTCGCCTGCCAGGCGGCTACTGCTCCACTGGCCCTGGGGTGGCGCCGATGGTGCTGCTGCGGCCGTGTCGTCCTCGTCGTCGTCGTCTCGTCTTCCTCGTCCACACGTTCTCGCCGACTTGCCTTGGCTGTGCCGGCCTCGGTGCGACGCTGTAGCATCGAGGAGTCCCCTTCCCATCAGTTGGGAAGCTGGCGATTTTCACTGTTTCAAGTGTGCTTCTCAGGAGGCGCGGGTCTTGTCTATGGATGTCGGGCCCCTCCACTGGAGGGGTTAAACAAATCGTCAGTGACGGAGGGCAAAGTGCCATGCTTCCAGCAGTTCTCTCCTGCTGACTTGTATGTTACATGTAGCTCGTGCGGGACTGTACCTTCAGTTCCGTGACAGTCGGGCTGTGGCGGCCCCCAGTTCGGGACGACTCTCGTATCTCGCGTGTCGCCCGCCGGCGCGCCGCCATCTCTGATGGCTCTCCGGCTCCTAGCTGGATGCAGTGTGCTCACACCCGGGGGGCCGGGCCAAGGCCTCCTTGCTGTCTAAGGTGAGGGCGTATGCAAGCGACTGGGCGCCCTGCCTTGGTGCGGTAACTCACGGCCGGCGGCAGCCAGGGCGAAGCGCGCGTGGCCGGCGTTCTGAACGCGTTTTGGGACGCCGAGCGCTGATGTATTTCTCCAGGGTCACTCTGGACACGGAGGCCTACGAAGCAAATGGCGCGACCGACTCGTGTCAGCAGGTAGTCTCGAGGAGGGCCATGCGCCGTCCTGCGACCAGAAGCTTCTCAATCGCTCTGATCACCGTCCAGTTGTTGCAACCCTTGCTCTTTCATCTGCCGTTCCTGTAAACTTCGGCAAGCCTGAGTCGCTAGTTGGTTGGACACCCTTTTCCGCAATGGAGCCCGAGGCATTCAAAGCAGTTTGCTTGGAATTTCGCCGCGCTAATTTGGAGTGCATGCGGTTTGGCGTCAAACGCACTGCATGTATCGTCCAGTTCGACGCGGTCCTGGCGAGGAGGAGGAAGGTGGGTGACCTCGCGAGCAAGCCCGTGAATGAAGCTGGGAAGTTTCTTGTTCATAACAGCCCTGCTGAAAAAGACGACCTGCGGTGCAATCCCTGAGACGCGCTGAGCGTCAACCACGCGTGAGCAAACGCCCAGCCCGTCTTCGCAAAGCTCGTTTCGCTGCGTCGTCATCGTCTCACCAGATGCCGCAGATACTTGTTGCGAATGGGTGGCGCGCGGCTGATCGGAGCAAGTGGCTGGCGGAAAGCATGGCGTTTTGGCGGGCGCGGTTAGGCTGTCCAGGCATTTTTTTCTCCGACCAGAGTTTGCGCCTCGAAAGGTTGGCCCCCCGAGCCCTGGAACTCCGTCTCGATGGGATTGGCCAGCTTGAACTTTCACATTTTCCTGCGCATCGGCGAGGGCTAAACTGAAGCATCTCGCGGCTGCAGGTTCTGAAGGCGCGCCCCTGGAGGTTGTCGAGGCGTGCCTGTTCACCATGATCTTCATTCTTCGGGGGGTGGTTCCGGGATGTGTGCGCTTACCACCGTCCTGCTATGCCTCCAAGCTGGGAGACTTTCGAGTTTTGCGGCGTCCCGAAAGAGTCCGGATTGTCGGCTTCAAGTCTGCCCGTTGGATTGGAAGGCTTGCTAGTTGCTTCAAATTGTACGTTCGCCGATATCACTCGTCATGAGCAGGACGGGTCGAAATCTTCGGGTTTCGAGCCAGCTTCAAGTGCGAGGACATTGTTACACTAGTCCGTGAAACATATTTCTTAGCCTATCATTGAAACAAGCCCCTGGTACTTGGAGCCATTGATGTCGAGGTGTCCTTCGACGGCATGCATCGCCCGTCGATGCAGATCGCCCGGCGGTCTCCGCCCAGATCTCGGTCGCGCTGTCCTCTGAGAGGTTCCGGCATCCAGGGGGCCAGTCGTTCGGGGCAGTTCCAAGTGGGGCGCGGGGATGCAGGGGGGCGCCGAGACTACCGACGTCTTCAGCCGCGCGGATGGCTCGCTGGTGGCGCCAGTGTTGGATAGTTGGGCGCAACGAGGCTTTGGATTTGGCACGTCGAACTCCGGTGAGAAGTCCACGGTGCGCGCCTTTTGTGAGACGATCGCATTCTGTCAGTCGCGACATCCGGCGGTCAATGCGCGACCGTGGCTGCCGACCTCGCGCGCGCGACCTGGAGACGCGGCTTCTCTTAGGGGAGTATCTTCGATAGGGTGCCACATGCGAACCCTACCCCTACCCCCCACGATTTCTCAGGGGGAGGGTGGGGTTCACCTCGCTCGGGAACTCCCGAACGAAGTGAACCCCACCCTCCCCCTCAGAACTCGTGGGGGGTAGGGGAGGGCTCGCATGTGAGCCCCTATTCGTTGGAGTGCCCGTGGCGCCGCGGCCCCCGTGGCGCCGCGTGGCCGAGCCAGGAGCGCAGCGCCGACCGCTTGCCGTTTTTTTCACCGCCCTCGGGTCCTGGATGGGGCGCCCTCTGCGCGCGTCGACCCTGCGCTCATTGTGGGTGCTCCCTCTGGCCCCGAGGGCGATGCTGATGTCTGCTTGGGACGTCGCTTCGGCCGAGCAGAAATGCGTTTTTGGATGCACAGGAGACATCTCTGGGCCAACTCCCGTCCGCGATGAGCTCTGCGCGTCGTTCGCTGCCCTGGTCTGCAGCGTGCTGCCGCGGTGCCTGGCGCTTTCGTGGCTGCGATTGCGCCGCTGGGTGCTCTGGATTTTACGGGGATCGTTTCGACTGCGACTTCGCCCAGATGAAGGGCGCATGGATTACGACACATGGGCCTCGCAGTGCATCCACGTATTTGCTGGTGGATGTCATTCGCGCCCGGTCCACGGCCGAACTTCATCTGTTATTCTCGACCCAGCCTGGCGGGATGGTATCCTTAGAGCGCCAAGTTCCATCGACCACTTGGCTTCCGCCTGGCGGTTCAGGGGCAGGTACTTCTGGCAGGCGGCGCGAACCATGCCAGAAAACCAGCGTCGGGCGCAGGGGGTGGTGCGCGCAGGCATCTGCTACCAGACGGAATGGGAGGACGTGCTTTGCGTCGTCTTCGGAGCGCAGTGGCGTTTAACTCGAGATTCCTGCGTAGATGTTTCGTTGTGGCGGGCGCTGTTTCCCCGATTCCTGGCCGTTGTTTGCCCCGAATGGGGCCGACCTGCTCTGCGGCCCCCCGGAAGGCCCCGCGCGTTTTCAGCAGCCCCAGAGCAAACGCGCCAAGCCCGCCAGACACGATCTTGACGACCGACCA